TGTGGCCTTTTTCACCACTTGGGCATGTCCACGCCCAAAATCAGCGTGACCACAAGGTCAAGTGGTGTGGCTATGCCAATTCTAGGCATGTCCAAGTCGATTTAGATTTTTCGAAACTTTTTTTCTTCACTCTAATTTTTGTGCTAGTCCTTCTCTAACTTGCCAACAACAATTCCAACCTTCCAAATGCATAAAATCATGCATTTAAAGTGGAAAAAATTGTTCGAATAAAAAAAAAATCTTAAAAATTTGACGCATGTCATTCAACCAAACAAGCCTTTTTTTATTATTTAATTTATGATTTTTCTATTTATCTAGTGATGTGTTTCTATGATTATGCACTAGAAATGGTATTCTTTATCTATATCTATTTATGTGATTATGTGCTCATGACTAGTTTGATTTTATTTGTTTAACTCTCAGAGAAATTTAAACTTTCAGCCCTAATAATAGCATAAACTAAATTTAAATCAACTTATAGTAAAAAAGAAAAATATATTTATAGCGCATCACTTAAATAATAAACTAAAATCAAGAGGAAAAATCTAACCATCTGCATAATTCATATTAGATTCCCTTCTCAGTTTTAACAAATTACTCATGTCATAGAAAATGGGGCTCTAATTAGTAAAAATTATCACATTTACAAGGGAAATCCATCTTTACTGCATAATAGGCCTAATAGTTACTTTTTGTGCTTACATGAGTACTTAATTTTCATACTTATCATAGTTCGATTTGAGGAAATAAAATAAAAAAAATTTGTCGAACTAATTAAAATTAAAATTATAAAACTTGTATTAGTTAGGTGCATATGTATTTTGGTTATTCGATTGTTAGGTCAAGTCAGACTCAATAAAACTTCCTAATATATTAAAACTATCACTCTTAATGCGCATATGATTAAAATCATAATTTTAAAGCATAGGTGGAGTTTACCAGTAGCCCTCTCCAAGTCAGTTTATAAGCCTATTAGAGTTGAGCTGAATTTCACTCCCTTCCTACAGTGAAGTCTGTAAATCCTACTTTTTCAATTTTATACTAGGTTTAAGCTTCTTAGTTATATCTAAAAAGCTCACTTTAGTTTAAGGTCTGAGGTGGTCTAGTAGATTTATTGATATAGAGGAAGTCCTCTTCTATGTTTCTTCATAACCCCTCATTAGAAAGTAAGTCATAACTTTCTAAATAAAATATGATAGAATTTAACCAAAAATATCATATTCAGCCATCTTATTTTATAAAAGCCAAAGAAATAATGGATTGAAGTACAACTAAACCTTGAGCTATATAATGTTCTTTGCTTCTCCTTGGTTGGTTTCTCTTAAGAATTATTCCAAGTTTGAGCCAATTCTTTTGAACATTCTAGTTAACACCATTGAAATAAATTTTTTAGATATGTAGAAACCTCAACCACTATTCCAATAAAGACTTGTCTAAAGGGGCAGTACACTAGTACCACTTAGGATGAAATTCATTTTAGGGGCTTATCCCATCAAGGATAGGCATCCCTAGTTACTATAAATCTTATCCTATCTCATTAAGGAAATAAAAATATATTACAACACATTCCTTTTGAATAGCAAAATAATTATCTCATGATTTGATCAATATCCTAGCCTTCTAGGGTAATATACTATTCTCAAGATTTTACTCAATCATAAATGAAAAATTTTAAAATTCCATGTGCAATTTGCGTATTTTATCTCCCTATTAGAATGTATTCCCTATTTTAAACACAATTTCAACTCTAAAGTTAGAATGAAAATCAAACATTATTTAAACTTTAATCTAACCTAGTTAGAACCCTCTTATAAGGTTCAAATAATTTCCACGCAACATTTAAGTATGATTTGAATAATGTGAGTATGGCACAAACATGATTTAAATATTGCATAATTATTATTCAAATATAATTCAAACATTGTTTGAATTATATTATCCCACCCTTAATAGTTTTTTTAGTGCAATTCTTTTTATTTATTGTAACTATTTATTTAAATGTTCATAGTATTATATTTTTATAGATGCATTATATTGCTCAAGTTATAGAAAAGTGATGTGTTTGATAGAGAAAATGGTCAAGTAATTTTAAGGCTAAAGAGAACATCGTGTTAAAAATTGGAGGTCGATGCACCATATTTGATATTATTAAATCATTCAATGATAATTATTTAATGAGTGTATTATTGAAAAATTTGTGTAAAGGTGAGCTTTTTTGGTTCTCTTTGAATTTTTTCATTTGCTCTCATTTATAAAATTTCTAAAAATAAATATATTTATTATTTCAATTTTTTAGTTTGTTGCCATGAATTCAGAGTTATAAGTTTAAAATGCTCTCGTTATTGCAATTATCTCAAATGTACGAATGATTATCTTAGGCTTGCAACATGTTAACCATCACCAAAAGTATAATTTCTACTTATTCTTACAATTTGTTATGATTGTAACAGATTAAGATGATGTAGATTTTTGTTCCTTTACTCTATATAGCTTTTATGTTTTTTAGTGATTAATTTTGCTTTATTTCTTATTTTTATTTTTTTACATTAAATAGTATTCAATTATTATTTTCATTTTAATTATTTCACATTGTAGTGGCTGCTCAAAGTAAACAATCATTTTTTCTTTATTTTAATATTTTAAAAGCTAAAAGTTGATTTTCTCAATATCACCATATATTTAATGAGATTGATTTCAATTCTACTGATCTTCAGTAACTTATTCATTCACTTTCCAATGCGTAAGTTGTATTTGTTTATAATGAGTATTATCTTTACATGAATTTAATTTCAATGCAATGGAAAGTTTGTTTGTTGTAATAAAAACTTTAAACAACGAAGGACTGCAACTATGATAACTTCAAAGTTATACACCAAATAACATCTAGTTTATAGGGATTATTTATATCAACTTCTTGATTTACACATGCTCATTTATGGATGTATTTATATGTCTATTTAAATGCTTTTTTTTTGTTATAAATGTTATGTTGGCTCTTTAATTGCATTTTGTCGTTTTATAGTTTTTTGTTAAATCTTTTTAATTAAACTCTATCATATTATGGTCATATACTATAGATGTAAAACTATAGCTTATTCTTTTTAATCTTATGATATATTATATTGCCATTGTGATCACACTCACTCTTTTGTATTAATCTTATGATATATGTTATGAAGTATATTAAAATACACTCTTATTACCTATGCCGAAAGAACTAAGCAGATTCGTGAATGCAGTAGAATATTAGAATTCCATTCTATTCTCAAGAATGCATTACATAAACAATGATATATTATATATAAAGCTATAGAGAAAATTTTAGAGTAGAGGACCGCTAAGTTATGAAATTAGGGAAATAAAAGAAATGCTGCAGGTGGAGGCTACACAAGAGACCAGATGAAGCGATCGTGAGCTTGTTCCACGGACGAATGAAATGAATTGCAGGAAGGCACTTGGTAACAATACTTGTATAATCCTTGGAAGTAATGTGAATTAATGTTCTCTCTTGTGGTGCAATGTGATCTCATATGAAATGGTCTATTTCAATGTCTTTTATCCATGCATAAGAGATGGTGTTGGCGGCAATGATAAGTGTTAAGGTGTTGTCACAATGGATGACAATGGGAGAGGAAATATGTATGTCAAAGTTTTGTGTGAGATGTTGTAGTCAGACATCCATGGTGGTCGCAAGGAGAGCATGCTATTCCACTTCCTATGATGATCAAGTAATGGTTTTCTAATTTTGAGCTGTCTAAGATATGCTATTGTTGCCAATGAATGTGCAATGATATTTTGTTAAATTCAAACCCAATATAAATCAGAGTAGCAGTTGATATGGAGCTTTCCATGTGTGATGTGACGATCATAGTGACCAGTGCCTTTTTAGGTATTGAAGGAGGCCTTTGATAAGATGATAGTAATGAAGCAAGGGATTGTGCATATATTGGTAGAGAGTTTTCACGGTGAAGGCAATGTCAAGCTTGGTTAGGGTGAGGAATTGAAGATTGCCAACAATTTGTCAATATTTAATGGGTTGGTATAGGGTTGTTTGGTAGAGGGTGAAGGAGGGATTGCAATTGGTGATGCCTAGTTGCTGTAAAATGGTTTTAATGTATGCAGTCTGGGAGGCAAAATAGCTTTGTTCTGTCTTGCGACTTTGTATGCTTAGAAGGAAGGAAAGAAGACCTCGCTCTGATATCAAGTGAACCAAGGAGAATCGTGAATGTAGTAAAATATCATAGGTCCATTCTATTTTCAGCAAGGCAATAGATAAACAATGAGAATATATATAAAGCTATAGAGTATACTTAAGAGCAGAGGACCACAAAGTCATGTATGAAATTAAGGAAATATAAGAAATGGTGAGGTGGAGGCTGCATAGGAGATTGGAGGGACCACTGGCTGTTATGCCACATGTATGCTATGTTGAAGTATGGATTAAATATGGTTCGAGCATGAATTGAATAAAATGTGATCCATGATTGATCAATGTTTAAACCATAGTTGAATTTTGCATGATAGAATTCTGATTCGATCCAAGTTTTGCTTACATCATGATCGATTATGATTTAGATCGTGAAAAAGTTAACCTAATTTCAAGTCTTATTTAAGCCAAAATATCATTTAAGGAACATTAAACAAATAACCAAGTGCCAGAAAAAAGATTAAAACTTTATGGCAGCAGGGGATGGCAGATCCTTTGTAAAAAAGTAGAACACGAGCAACGCCAGACGAAGAAATCAGAATTCCTCTCTCCCGTTGTCTCTCCCGTTCTCTCTCGTGCCCGAGAAATGAGAGGACTCGCGTTTGATTCGCCTTTTTGGACAAACCAAAATTAGAGTTCAGATTAGGTTACTTTAGCCGTACTGGGTTTTCAGAATGTACCATTGCTTAACTCTCCCGGCCTATCTCTTCATATTCACCATCTCCGTCGCCTCCTCCGCTGCCACCACCACCGCCGCCGGAAGGGA